AGAGAGAGAGAGAGAGAGAGAGAGAGATAAAGAGCAATGTTTAATGTTTATTCACATATTTTTGTTTTGTATCGTTTAATAACTGTGTACGTGTTTCCACCTCTTATGAAATAAAACGTCAATAGTTCTTCTACTGCGAAAGTGTCTTATAAATTTATAAGACCCGTTAGCATCTTCCTCTTCAAGAAAAGAAAACAACTACATTATAAGAAAAAAAAGACAAAAAGGAAGTGGAAATGGAAGAATATTAATAACTACTTCCATCTCCTCACCCGAGGAGATGGCCGTCTTAAGACAGAGAAAGCGTGCGTCGCCAAGGGGGTGTTGACGGCAAGCGGAAGTTATCTGCCGTGGCGACAAGGTCAACCGGAAGTCTATCTCCGTCGTGTCGTCCATTGGCCAAGGCGTAAAAAGCTGATCTCTGGGAAGGCAGTGCGCTCTGTCCGATGAGGGAACGCTCTGTTGCGTTTTCTCCGTTAATTTGCCGTGATGTGTAGGTGCTGCCATAATTCAAATCACGAGGAAGAATGCCCGGAACCATAAGATGGCGGCGAGAATGGAAGACAAGCTGGATGCACGTAGTCGCGCAGATCGTTGTCTCAGGTTCTGGCTTGAACATTGTCTAGAAAACGAAATTTGGAAAGAAGAGATTGGGGAACGGGATGGGCGTATTTAGCGAAGGAGGATATGGGTGGATGTGAGAAAAAAGGGGGATAGGATAGTAGACATAAACAGAGGTACGCAGAGATTGGTTCAGCTTCTCATGTTAAAATTAGGTCTAGAATTATATTCCAGAAGTTCAGTTCATCAAATTCGCTACCATGAAAGAGAAACTGTCTTGTTTTTCTTATAACGACGGCTCATAAAGTTTTACGTTAGCTCAATTGGTTGAGTAGTTAATTGCTATTTGTCTTTTCAGTCCCCCTAAATGAAACTCAGTTTTAATATTTAAAAAAAAGATAACCTTTGAAATTTGAGATTTCCCGAGGCATGTCGAAAGCTTCCCACTGGCCATGACAGTATAAATTGTTGTCCATGTCTCCAAATTCAGCGTCGGAAACAAATATGCACAAAAAAGTATTTACAAACATGTTTACTGACATCAACTTGATTTTATCGTAGTACGTTTATATAGGCTACCCTACCACAATATGCCAAAGGCCTAGGAAGTTGTCTCACTAACAAGGCAATCCCCAATTTGATGCAGGAACAGCTTTACTTATACCTTACGTTTATATACCCCTTCAAAAATAATACAAAAAACTACCAAAAAAACAAAAACAAAAAAATCGACAAATATCTATATTTGGATGAATCCAAATAATTTATTTTTCTTTTGCCATATTCCACAGTTCAAACCTAATAATATTAAAACATAGCTTAAAAACTTTGTCTTTGGTCTCATCACCAGGCCACAGTGGCGTGAACCAGCTGGGTGGTGTATTCGTCAATGGACGGCCGCTCCCAGACTCCACCAGACAGAGGATAGTAGAACTGGCTCATAGCGGTGCCAGACCATGTGACATTTCCAGGATTTTGCAGGTGAGAGATTTATTTTAGCTCCTGGTGTAAAGATGAACGGTTCTAGGGCGGAGTAGAAATGGCAACGAGAGTCAAATTTAACAGTGTGACTGGCAAGCAATAGAAAAGATTGAAATGTTCAAGTAAACTTTCGATCTACAGATACCCCACCCCCCCCA